GGCGGGGGGGGGGGGGCGGCGGCCACCTGCCTCGAGGGGCTCCTCCTGCTGAGGCCCACGCACGTCTCTAGGACTCCTGACTCTCTTCCTACATCCCGTCGTGCATCAGAGCCGGACGCGCTCTCTGCAGCGTGAACCGGAGCGGCCGTGTCTGCCTGGGGGATCATGGGGGTGGGGGGAGTGCTCTGACCCTGATCTGATCTTCGGTTGAGCCCGCTCTCCCCCCTCACCTCAGTGTGGCCTCAGAGCAGGTCCTGGTCCCCTGGCTTAGGCCGTGGCCACGTCTCTGTGTCCCTGTGTCCTTCCAGGCCTGAAAACCCCTCCTTTCCTATTCCTTCCCCTTCTCCCAACAGAAATGTAGCTGCTCTCTTGACTTTAATTCCCTGTCTCGGTGTCTCCCCAACTTTCTCTGTCCCCCACGAACACGGGGCATGTACTGGAGGAAAATGGCCAAAAGAGAGGAGCCCCTGTTTTTCCTGCACTTGCTCTCAGAATGTCCCAAGTTCAGGGTGTGCTCCCTAGGGGTGGGGGTGGGGATCTGGGTCTGGGAGCTAGTGTGGGTGGAGGGACGAGAGGCCCTCGCTGAGGTAGCCAAGGGCCCACGCTTGCTTGCCTCGGGAGCTTCGGTAAAACAGCACCAGGGGGTCGGGTGTCGGTGTGGTCTCCTGCCCCAAAGACCCTTTGACCTCCAGACGTTTGCATCCATAATTTTCAGGAGCCCGTATTTTGTGTAGATGGTGCCTGTCCGCATGGTAACATGCTTATCTAACTCTCAGTTTTTCTTCCAGTGTTTCCTTAAATAAGCAAACTGGTAGGTGGTGGGGGGCGGGTAGTTAACCTCAAGTTCCAACCCTGGCAAAACACAGAATCTTTCATTACTTTGTCTGTGAGCGTATATTTTTTTATGTGGTTGCAAACAAGAAGAACTTACAGAAGTTTAGTTTTTTAGATTTATTATTTTTATGTTAAAAAGATAAACAAAAATGGCCCTCATCCCACTGTCTAGATAATTTCTGTTGATTTTCTTTCTTTAAGTAACACTAGTCCAAGGTGAAAAACCAAACAGGAAAGGAAAGTACGTGAGGGAACAGGATGGAGAGGCACAGAAGCCTAAGAGGGAAAGGAGATGTTCTTTCACGCCCTCTTCTCTCACTTTTGGTCCGTCTCTCAGTGATAGCCATCTTAATAAAGCGCATACCAGCAAATAGATATTTTTTCTGAAAATGCAGTACTGGGCTTCCCTGGTGGCGCAGTGGTTGAGAGTCCGCCTGCCGGTGCAGGGGACACGGGTTCGTGCCCCGGTCCGGGAAGATCCCACATGCCGCGGAGCGGCTGGGCCCGTGAGCCATGGCCGCTGGGTCTGCGCATCCGGAGCCTGTTGCTCCGCAACGGGAGAGGCCACAGCAGTGGGAGGCCCGCGTACCGCAAATAAAAAGGCAGTACTGTGCATTTGCACTCAGTGCTTCATCCGTAACAGCTGTGAGGTGTTCTAATACGTGAACGTACAAATGCTCCGCAATTAATTTGGCTCCTGCCCCGTCGATGGGCATTTAGCCGATTCCTCATTTTCTTCTCTAATTTGCAGGGCCACAGTGCACGTCACCGTAGCTTTTGCCACTGTAACAGTACAAATTCTTAGTGGCAGACAGACCCTCTTTTTGAAGTGTTTCCCCCCTTTTTTGTTTGCTAAATTGAATGGATCCATGTATATCTCATACTCTCAATATAGTAAGTGTGATATAATATAGTAAGTATTAAGATAATCCTTTATATCTGTAGGACATCTTTTAGCATAGCAAAGGTTCTGGCGCGTAATACTTTAATTTGATTTTCAGCAAGTGGTGTAGGGTACGTAGGTGTTCATATTCCCAGTCGTTCTCAGGGTGCTGTCCCTGGTCCAGGAGCCTCAGAGCATCAGCTTCCCAAGGCAGTTTGTTAGAAATGCACATTCTCAGGCCCTGCCCCAGACCTGCTGACCCAGAGACTCCGGGGTGGGCCCAGCAATCCACATCTTCACATGGCCTCCCCCCCTCCCCCCCTGCCAGGTGACTCTGCTGCTGCCCACATCGGGGAGGGGGGGGCGGGTATCATCTAAGGCACTGCTCATTCCTGAGAAGTAGGGGCTGGAGGGTGCCAACGGTTTAAGCCTGAGACCTGAGGCCCGACCTCCAGTTCCGGGTCTGCTCCTTGGGGTGGGGCCCTGGCTATTCCACCTTGAAAGTGAAGGAGGCCAGGCGGATGGACGGTGAGCGCCTTAGTGCCCTAAATCAGACCCGCTCCCAGGCCGGGGGAGTTCTTTCTGCGGCTTCTCCTCTGGAGTGTCTGGGGAGCGAGGCAATAGCTTAGAGGTGTCTGTGGAGCACGCTAGTCTTGTCTCAGGAACGTGCAGAGAGAATCCGGTGCAAGGATCCGTTAGCCAGTCACCCCTCTTTCCATTTCAGGTGTCACCAGATGGACGACTTCGGGCCTGCAAAGAACCTCATGACCATGTGCTTCACCTACTATCACATCGGTGAGACCCGGGCTGCAGCTTACGTGGAAGGCAGGCGTGTCACCTTCCAGCGCCACGTCACGTGGGGATTTCTTAAGGCAAAGCTGCGAGGCATCCAGAAAACAAAGGGAGCTGATATCAGGGCGGGAACAAGGAGGAGGGAGACCCCTAGAACGGGAGGTGAAGCACGGCCCACAGTGTGGGTCAGGAGGCTGATGGTCCTGGCTGGGAGGACACGAGAGAGTAGACACACGGGCAGGACGTTTCAGGGTAGACGCAGGACATCGTCTCGTGTTCTGACCAAATGTGACACAGGGTCAGCTGTGGACGGGGGTGACCTGCAGCAGCCCGGGGTCTGGGGCAGAGTGCGGGTTGATCTCTTCGGGTTCGTGGCCCTGGGGCCTCCTGGTGCATCGCAGCTGGGGGCAGCTGGGGGCTCCCCGTGTTAAGCTCCTCGGGCTGTGACCACTGGCACTCGTTCAGGCCGCCCTGAGGAGAGGGTTGCTGAGGGCTTGCCTGCGGGCTGGAGCTGGGTCAGGGCAGCGCAGGCGCCAGTGGGCTGGCTCTTGTGGCGCATCCCCTACCTCTGCAGCTCAGCTTCATCCTCTCGTCGCCTCAGCAGCCCACCCTCTCCCTGCTGCTCTGCGCTGTTGCAGCAGCTGCTCTGACGGCCTTAGCATGGAGCCCTTTGATCTGGGGCGGGACACCTCGGCCCGTGGGGTGCCTGGGCCTCGGTCCGTGCCCAGCCTTAGGAAGGGACATACCTCTTTCTCCCTCGCTGCCCTCCTCTCACCGTCTCCCACGTCCAATGGGCTCCCTGTTTCAGGACCAGCCCAGGTGCCAGCCAGGCCGTCTGGAATCCGCACGGCCCCTCCCTCCACGAGGAGAGACTCTTGTGTCTTCCTCCATCACTTTGTACGTTACGCTCTCCCTGTGTGCGCCGCTCCCCCGCCCTCTGGACTTGGTGCTTCTTTGGGGCTGGATCCCTGCCTGTTTCCTCTGCAGCCCCTGGTGGCGCCTGGCTGACTTGTCCACGCTAGGTGCTCAGCGGCCGCCCGAGAGGGCAGGGGCCCCGCCCCCCCAAGTGCCTACGGGCCTCCAGAGCCTCTTGCTTCCCACCGCCGCCGTGTCTGGCCGTGGCGGAGGGGCGTGGCCCCGGCCCCGAGGCTCCAGTTGGCTCTCATCCCTGCTCTTCTCCCCTCCCCCCAGGGAAGCCACGCCTGCTGCCCCCCGAGCTCAAGGAGAAGCCGGCCGGGGGCATCGACTCCTACTTGAGGTCGGCCAATACCTGGTTAGCGGAGAAGAAAGGCGCGGCCGAGCGGCTCCTGAGGAGCACGTCGGCCAAGACGGAGGGCGCCAAGGGCTTCTTCGGGCTGGAGGCCAAGCCCGAGGGGCCCCTGGCCAGGAGACGCGCGTGAGTGCCGCCTGCGTGCGTCCCTCCCCGACCGCGGGTGAGACAAGGAGGCCACCCTGGCCCAGTCACGGGAGCACCTCTGCGCCCTCGGCCGGGGGGGGCAGCTGCCTCCCCACCCTCCGGTTTTCTGGGGCTCCCAAACGCCGTTCCGTTTGCTGACGTGCTGGGATGCTCCCGGTGGGCCCGTGTTTCTAGGACTGGAGAGGAGCGTGCGGAAATTGTCGGTAGGCAGGAGGGAAGTCACACCCCCTTCCCTGCACCCCGCCTCCCGCTGCCGGGAGAGAAACCGCTTTCCCCAGGGCAGTGGTGTTCCCACAGCCACTCGGGGGCCCGCGGGGCAGCGGGGCCGCTTCAGAGCAGTGCAGGAACCGAGACTTCCACAAAGCAGGGGCACCCTGTGGTCCCCGCCGTCCCCTCCGACGGCTCAGTTACAACCAGGCCACGTGGCTTTATTCCTCCTCTGGTCTGGACAGTCTTAGATTCAGAGAAAATGGCACGAAGAAGCCTGAACAGCACATCTCAGTTCTAAAAGACTGGCAGTTGGTACACGTGGCGTTGATTTCGTAAACATGTTTGCAGAGAAGCCCACCTTCGATTTACACATTGGTTATGAGGCATCATCCCGTTTCAGCAATGTAACAGGGTTCTTTGGGTCGTTTTGTCACTGCTATGGTTTCTCTCCCCAAGGGAGAAAGAAGGCAAGTCCCAGGAGAAGCCGCGGAAGACGGGTGAGTGCCTGCCCGTGCTCGCGGGGCCGGGTGGTGCCGCAGCAGCGCCACGGGGCCTCAGTCCGGCCCACGGGGAGACGCAGGTCCCTGGACGCCTGGGGCTCCAGCTCCCCTGTAGCAGGGGACGCTGTCCTACTGCGCTCTGCTCTGGTCTCTAACCGCTTACCGAATTTCCATGGAAAACCCTCCTCTCTGGGGAGCAACTCCTCCTCCCAGGGGACTCAAGGACAGTATCCCCAGCGGTGGGGGAGCCGTTCCCGGGACCCTCCCTGGGGAGGAGTCCTCAGGGCCAGGCCTGAGGGCCGCAGGGCAGGTGCCATGGAGTTTCCGCTGTACGTTTGTGTGACCTGGGGGATGATGCGGGGCCTGCTGGGAGGGTCACTGGGGTCGGGGCCGGAGGGGGTGGTCTGCCTCGCTCAGGCTCCCTCCCCGTCCCGCAGTGACTGTGTGCAGCCCAGAGGTGGAGAGGAAGGGAGAGAAGACCTACCTGTACACACACCTGAAGCAGCAGCCCATCTGGTAAGGCCACCCCCGACCTGTGTCACCAGCACCCATGTCTCCATCAGAAGTGAAGGCCAGGGCTCCCCTGGTGGCGCAGCGGTTGAGAGTCCGCCTGCCGATGCGGGGGACGCGGGTTCGTGCCCCGGTCCGGGAGGATCCCACGTGC